ATAGGTTTCTGATGTTCTACTTTAACTTGTTGACACACCAAACACTGAGCCACAAATTCTGCAATATCTCCCTTCATACCATTCCACCAAAAATGTTCATGAAGATCCCGATACATCTTAGTGCTTCCAGGATGAATGCTATAACTAGAACTATGTGCCTCTGCCATAATCTCCTTCCTCAAATCACAACAATTCAATATGTAATTAATCTACTGTAAAAATTTCAGATTAAAATTCTATTCGTTTGGTATGGTTTCTTGATTTTGAAAGTTTGCGATTCTGTGCAGAATTTTTTTTTTGAACTAAGAATTACACTCATTCTTTATACATCAATTTTACTCCTCAGATTTCTTAACAGCATATATATATACACAAAATACATACACCTACAATCTCTCCATCAATAAATTAAATAACAACATTATTAGGATAAAGAACAAAGAAAGAAGAGAAGAAAACCTAGGAGGGCACATAGCACAACACACCCAAAGCTCTCCTTCTTGGCTACAACAATAATCTTGATGATTGAAAAACCCCTCTCTTTCCTTCATAAACCCACGGCTGCTAGGGCTGGTAGTGTTGTGGAAAACAATTATAACAAGAGTTAGGGTTTGTGTTTATTTTATTTTATACTAGTGGTGGACACACTTAGGTCAAATAGATAGATAAATATACAAAATACATATATAAGTTACATGCAACTCAAATGGTAAGAGCCTAACTTATTAATTATGTGGTCTAGAGTTCAAGTCACACCCTCTTCTCTATTTTTTTTTTTTTTAATAATAAATCTTGTTTCTAAATCAATGACTTTCACCATAAATTTATTTTAGGTTTAAAATTAATTAAAAGATCCTCCAATAATATTTAATTTGCACCTTAGAATTCACCACCAAAATATTTGAGATTGTAATATTATTATTTAATTATTTACTTAATTTTTATATTCGGGTTCTCACAAAAGCAATGCCTAATTATCATATTTAACACCAACATAAATCTCAAAATCAAAACCCAATTCACTAAATGACACTTCCACGAAGATTGAAATCAAACAGAAACAAATCTATTCGAACTTAACTGTTATTAAATGAAAAAAATGATTTACCTGCAAAATGGTCTTTGCTGTCCATGGCACTGTCCAAGCCCAAGTCGCCTCTTCAACTAGATGATTACGCCACAGTACCTTAACTAATTTAATGACTTTTGTATGCAACCTTTTCTCTTTCGAATCCAAAATCTGAACAGGTATCTCCTCATACGAAAAATCCTCTCTAATTTGAAGCGGCTCATAATCTATCACATGCGACGGACTGTGCGCATATTTCCTCAGCATAAACACGTGAAACACATTATGCACTCCTGCCAATCTAGGGGATAGAGCAACACGGTA